GTCCCACCCCACTAGCAATAAAAAAATTATAAAAAGCACAGAATAGCCGAAATACGAACCCTGGACTTTCTGAATACGAAACATAAGTGTTCATCATTCTTTCTTCCTCTTCTGTCTCTTCTTATCTTCCTTCTTTGGAAACAACTTGCGCAGGAAATCACTTGCAACGAGGTCACATACTTAATCAGCAATCTTAAGTTGACATTGAAATTTTTATAAAGCTCAGTTAAAGGAGGAGGAAATGTTATTGGTGGTCTAGCGTGGTTTTTAAACATGCCGTCTTCGGAATTGAATTTTCATAATAAGACAAAGACATGGATGGTTCAGAGCTTATTGATTTTATTTCTAATTTTTGCCTCCTATTTTTCAATATGGTCGCAGAATAAGTAGTAGGCGTCGGAGAGACGCGTGGCTTGAATTCAAAATGTCGTTAAATCCAAGGATTCTGAAGGAGGAGAACAGGGTGCTCCACAGTGTTTTCCATATTTTAATTAAAAAAATACAAGTTTCCCGATTTTACTACTCTCTTAATTTTGAAATAAATGTTATTCTTTGATTATGAGCATTGCATTCGGGCATTCAAATATCGAAACCTTTTAAAAATAGTTATTATGTAAGCTTGTAATTAAGTTACGACCTTGTTGCAGATTTTAATTCTGTAGTTTATATAATATATATGATTTTGTCTATATTTAATGGAGTTGATCAACGCGTTGCCAGGCAACACGCAACAACAGAGGAAGCTGTGTTTTCCGTTTCCGTGGTGACGTCACATAACACTGGTTAGAGACCACGTGACGTGTTTTCTATAGATCCGACCGACGCGCCAATAGACTGGCTGGATAGCGATCACGTGATATATTTACTGTAGGTCCACTTGAGTTCCGCGGCTGTATGAATAAGAGTGGCAGAATTCGTTCAAGGCAGTTACGAGTTAAATTTACGAGTCAGCCGTAAGCTGGAGGAGTGAGTCCAGAAGAATTTTTAGTTCCAGAGTGATTGAATACGAAATGGCAGGAAGACTTCGTAGGGCTTTGAAATGCTAATTTTTGTGTTGAGATCCGTTGCTAGGAGAAGACAAGTGGAAACAGAATCGTACTACGTGTGCAACGGTGGACTGGATAGTGTGTAAAAAGCGATAGATCTATAATTACATGTAGTTACTGGTGGTGTGTATGAGGAGCAAATAAACCCGTTCATCCAATCCAGAACCCGCGTCTTTAGTCACTGATACACGTGACAATATTTAATTGTCAATTTTTCTCTCTGATGCCGTCTGATATAATTTCTGCGATATATTTCCGTGTTGATTAATGTTACCAGTTATTTCACATGAAGGCTGTACGACTGCCTTACTACACATGTTACTGCAGCATCGTCTCGTTTCAATCCCATCTACGAGTATAATGATGCAGGCATTATACTGATCGGTACATGAAGTATGATCACGCTACAGTGGCACAAGTAACATCAACTTACTGGTAACAAGTCATTCCTGAGTTGGGATTGTATCCGGCTTGTACCCAAATATCTACCAAGGACTTGTTCATTGTAAATAAAAAGTTCTGCCTTCTGGGATGTAACACTGTAGACTGTTGAAAGTTATCCAATGTTTCGGAGGGAAATTTCACCTCCATCTTCATGGTTAGAAAGTAAGCCAAGCAAGAAGGACCGCTCCATAGCTCAAGCGGTTAGCCGCTGGCTTCCCACTGCGGCGGCCCGGGTTCGATCCCGGGTCGGGTCAAATGGGATTTGTGGTGGACAAAGTGGCGCTGGGGCGGGTTTTCTCCGAGTACTTCGGTTTCCCCTGTCAATCTTCATTCCACCAAATTCCATCATCATAATCATCCGGGGCAGGTACAATAGGCCTATCAGTGGCCGCCGTGCCGAGTGGACCCAGCTGGACTCCATCCCCACTAAGCGAATTAAAAAAAAAAGCCAAGCAAGAAACAGGCATGGAGCTTGCAGCAAGAAAAGCAGGTGGCTTGCGAAAACCTGTGATTGTGTGGAAGCAGAAGGGACCTGGAAAGGCAACCTATCTCTTTCCGTTTGCTCGTATTGGTTCGCCTTGATTCTGTAACAGCCTAAATGGAACTGACGGATTGTCAATTCTTACTGTTTCTACAACCCCACGATTTAATATTCATTATTTGTTCGTTCAGTAGACCTGACAGAGTTCTGACTGCTAGCCAATTTAAGTGCCAGCATCTGGCGGTGAATAGCTACTTGCGAATTGAATATCTGTTTAATAGAAGCGAAGACCTCAGCGTAGTCTTAATTGTTTCAATTATAATTTCTTCTGTCGAATGCAACTCTTAAGCTACACAGTTTTATAAGCTTGTATTTTTTTATAGAAGAAATGGTGAATAATACCAGATTTACAAAATACATATGACACTGTAGAAAAAATTGAGAGGTTTAACTTCTTTAGGATTTATCTCCTATATCCTCCCCTTCGCGAACTTAGAAAGGTGTCTAAAACTGGAGATTCAGTTTTACAATAGCGTCGCAAGCCAATTATACGCGTACCTACTACTGGGAAGGATGTGGTGATTACCATGATTTGATACAACATCTCTGATTAACTAGAGAAGCAGACAACAGTCCCCCGTAGGGTACCTGTAAACAAAGGTCAAAATAGTGTTCACTCTCCTCTTCTTGCTGTTGTGTAGTTTGATGGTCGGACAGCCCCCTGGACAGTGTATTACATTTCTGTACACTCGGTTGGAACTGTTCTGCCTTTCTGATTACATTGCCAAGACACATCAAAGCTCGGCTACGCATGTTCTTGTCAAAAGCCATAAACCCTTCATCTCGATAGAAGGCAATTGATGCAAATTTTGATAAATATTTCGAGAATGGTGAAAGAACGTTTCACAAATCCCACAATCGCGAAAACAAATTATCTTTCGGCGTGTGTGTTTATATCTTTGAGCATAAATGGATGGAAATTGCCTTGAAATGTTCTGGTAAACAGAAGAAGTAATTGAAAGAATATTCATGAATAAATTAATGACATATTAGAAAATTCGTTGAGTCGGAAAAGCGAAATGATTAATGCTTGAGTGAAGTTTTCTTTAGATTAATGTCCCTTGTATCTGGTATTAGCTACTTACCTTCCTCAAGAAAATGTAAAGTAGGTAAATATGCAAAATTGTAACGTTACTTGTTATGTATGGCCATGAATCTTGGTCTCTTAAATTACGGGAGTATGAGGATGCTGAGGAGAGTAATTGTGCCCAAGGGGGGAGGAAGTAACAGGAAGCGGGAAACTATATAATGAGGAGATTCATAATTCGTGCTCTACGCCAAATATTAGGATGAATGAATCAAGGAAGATATAATGGGCGGGTCATGTAGCACAAATTAGAGAAATGAGAAACTTATACAAAGATTTGTCGGAAAACAGAAAGTAAGGGTCTACTCGGAAAAATCTAGACGTAGATTGAAGAATAATATTAAAATGGATCGTAAAGAAATATTGTTGAGATGTTTGGACTAGATTTATCTGGCTCACGATAAGGACAAGCGGCAAGTGGATTCTTGTGAACGTTTTTTGAGGTTTCTGTTTCTAGGGGTTTGAGGATTACCCGAGCAAATAATAGAAAATTGTCTTCTCAAAAATGATCCAGCTCCGTGGAGTTACTCAGGCATATGAGATCACCGTGCTCTGTATGTATGTGTTCCCATTTTCATGATTGAACCAGTTGAGCGACATTCAGAAAATTCCATGTACATTTCTGGCCTATGTCATTGGTGGGAACTTGGAACGCGTATTTTATAATTTCCTAAAATCAGTAATAATAATATGGCGGACGTACGAACACCGGAGGTGAGCGCTAAGGTGGTGCTATATAATATAGGGTCCTGAAATTATTACTAGACCTTCGAAAATATGTGCAACTTGTTCAAGGCAGTTATGTTGGGGGGGGAAACATAACGTGACCGTGTGAAAAAGTTATTTTGGTTTTAGTTTGATAATAACCAATGAACCGCTGGAGCCAGGAATATGAAATCACGTACCCACATAAGGATGGAATATAAACATCCCTGCAGATTGAGTATCAAATATTGTTTATAAGTCAACAATTGTAAACATGGCGACGGTGCGAATATTTGGGGATTCATCTGGCGAATTTAACACGCTTTAAATTAACAAGTTCTAAAAACATAAACACTTCAGAGCTCAGTAGTTTAATTTTTTTTACTTCGCTTAGTGGGGGGTGGAGTCCAGCTGGGTCCACTCGGCACGGCGGCCACTGATTGGCCTTTTGTAGCCTGCTCCGGGTGATTATGATGGTGGAGAATTTGGTGGAATTAAGTTTGGCAGGGGAAACCGAAGTACTCGGAGAAAACCCACCCTAACGCCACTTTGTCCACCACAAATCCCACTTGACTAGACCCGGGATCGAATCCGGGCACCCGCGGTGGGAAGCCAGCGAGTAACCGCTTGAGCTATGGCGCGGCCCTGAGCTCAGTTACTATTTGCACGAACTGCTTTAACATACTAAAACTCTTGTGTTGTACCCACAAAATGTATAATTGTGTGTTCCGTATGGTTCTCACAATACACAGCGATTGTTGTCAAGCGGTTAATCTTTGTAGCGGAGATGTAATGTGTGTTCCTATGTGTTTCCTATGAGATAAGTCTGAATTTTTATGTATTATGTAGAAAGATTTCAGTCTTTAAATGGTTAATTGACATGTACAATGCACGTATTTCCTTCTTTTATAATATCCTAAATTCTGCACTTCGTCCTTTTCATATTCAAATACTTTTGTGGGCAAAATAAGACCTTACAGTTTGACATAAATTAATTCAAATAATGACGTTCAAGAAATAGAGATATAAATAAGTAACATATATTTTCATTCAGTTTTGTATCACATGAATATCTTTTAGGAGGAATGAATTTTGGAACGGCGATGAAGTGTCTAGTAATTTCATACTCAGGGCTTCTTTGTCTGTAATGCCTTAATTGCTCTTTGTTTCTTTTCAGCCTTGAAGATCAGTCTGAATAATGGAACAAGTTCAGAATGACTTTCTCTCTCAGCCTGAGTTTCTCTCATTTGAGAGAAGATTAATGGAAGTGGTGCACGAACTCAACATGAAGAGGGTAGGTGGACATTAATTTTATTGAGAAGAAATGGAGTGAGCACAAACTGAGTGGTATAACAAATCAGTGTTATGTTCAAGATGAAATTAATAGATTAATTTTCGAAAGTTCTTGCTGCAATTCCGTTCAGATTTATTTACCTTTCCATGTTATATCTGAATACCTAAGAATTAAAACGTACAGAACTGTAAATATACACGCTCATTAAATTGTCGTGAGGGATCTGAGCGAGGAGTGGTGTGTGCCTGGCCTTCCTTGGGTGTTCTGCAAACGTGACTCTTCCTGATGTAGGGAACAGCGTGAAAGACAACTCATCTGACCACATCACGCGCGTTTTCAGTTGTCTGATGTCCAGGTTTTATGGTCGTTACATAATCTTTTACGTATCTGAACATTACTTTTAGTAATCAGGTTTAGCAATTGCAGCCCTACCGAGGATACTGGATTTGTGAAGTTCATTTCGGACAGATTTGTGGAAAAGAGATCTTCCAGATTAATACGTGTATTTAATTCTGCTGTCACCTGTACTGCAGCAGTTCTGTGATTTCTCGAAACAATCCTCAATGCACGACGATCTCTTTCTGTCAATGTATATTTTCGCCCACACTTTCTCTTCGCTGATGCTGGCTTGCTCTCGATACACCTAATAATGTNGCGTAACTTAGAAACTGTCGCTCTCGATACACCTAATAATGTGGTCCTTTTTGTCAAAGATGCACCAACTAAACGCGCACCGACGATTTGTCCTTTTTCAAAATTGGACAAGTCTTCCATTTTCCGATTCTTTCACAGGACTTTCGTTCACCACATTCAATACAATCACTAATGCACTGACACGAGCACTACAGATTTTAAACAGACGGAAGAATATGCAGCTTTGCCAACTGAAGTTATATCAATGTAGCCAACACAACCAATTTTTATTCCTCAAATTCTTAGTGTTTCCATTATTTGGTACATTCCCATGACATGATTTGTCACCAGAGATTGCTGGACGAGGGCCGTGCGAATCTAGAAGGAGCACTACGGAGGCAACATGAGCTTGAATGCATGCTGGATGTGGAGCGCCGCGATTCTCAAGCAATGCGCATGCAACTGAAGGTAGCTGTGGAGGCAGTGCAGAAATACGGAGAGGAGCGAGCTGCAACTTCTCCTGAGTTCTCCCGCTTACGAATTGAATTGGAGGCGGCCGTCCGTGAACGAGACTACCTCAAGGACCAGATACATACTAGTCAGGTAGTCTCGTATGGATATTTCTTAATATTTGTATTGCTTGACCATCGGTAAATTGGTTAGTATGATTAAGATTTATATGATATTTCACTCTTTGAAGTAACAATTGCCACTGTCAGTTTCCGTGTTACACATCTGGTTTACAACAACAGTCTTTTTATGATATAGCTAAGTGCATGATCATGTGATAATTTGTTAATAAAGTGACTGATTTTCAGGAAGCAATTTGAGATGTAATTTTATGCGTGGTTCAAATAAGTACGAATTATATCCGATTTCTTTTTCCGAGTAAACTTGTTAAGTAGAAGATACGTAGATCTGTCTGTGAAAATATAATTGTGAAATTTCTTTAAAAATAGCTTCTCGCTAAAATATTTTTGCTGAAGATTATTTTTAAATATATGACAGTTGAATAATTTTTGGTTGATGTTATTGTTTCATGAGAGTATTTGATAAAAGATTTGTGTGCCAGCGACATGTAAAGAAGGTTTTATGAAGTTCGTTTTCGTACTGAAACATGCAAACTTGTTCCTGTCCAAATCATTTTCTTGTTTGCCTTTCATGAAGTACTTAGAAAAATGATGTTTGAGATATAGTACAAATATGCATCGTTACGATATATGATTTTACTTGATATTTGGATATTTTTAGATTCAGATGGCGACACTTGAAGGAATGTAGTTATCATTAATTCTACAGCATTGGCTGGACACAAAATATCAGGCAGACTTCAGGATCTCAGTAACCAGAAATGTTTGTAGACATTTGACAGACCAGTGTCTTAATTCCAGATCGCTATTCATGTACAGAAGCCTTTGCAAGAATTATCGTTCTTACTTAAGACTTAACGTTCATGGTGACACAGTTNCTTATTTTCTCAACCGTGTTCAGTGTGATGAAACAAAACACGTCACTATAGCCATCACTCGCCCGGTAGGTAAGCTAGTACATGATACTATTAACTAGGTACTAGAAATTTGTTGCATTACAGTTATTCCTGGTTGCAGTTGGAGAATCTGACATTGAATCGACAAGTTGAAGAACTGCAGGGGCAGCTGCGATGTCAGCAAATGTTCCAGGAGAACACTATCAGCCTGGAGGCTAAGATAAGGACAGCTGTGGAGGAGGTGAAGAGTTCAAAATAATAGAACAAGGAAGATGTGACTTACTTCTGCATTCAGTATAAAGTCACTCATATGTTCTGTCAAAATAACCAATTCATTCTGTGTTCAACAGCCAGTAGCTGTGTTCCATTAAAAAATTTGGGTTCTTATGGAACGCAAATGTTCAACAGTCAAAAATTGAAACTAGTTACTGGATCATTTCCTGAACGAACTCACTCCGTCTCATATCCTCACTAGCTCATTCTTCTGAGGTTCACCCTCTGGTTTTCTGAGATGTAGTAGTAGTAGTATGGTGGTGCATTTATTTTAATATATTTTATTTATGCATTTTTTAAAATACCCCTACATAAATAAACATTTACGCTCTTGGTGCTCAAAAGCATCTGTTTTATTCCCTGTGACAACTGTCAGAAGCTTAAATCAATTTCATAACTTTCGTGACGTTTCTGCACAAAATGATATGTCGGTCAAGTGCTCTTTTTAGACAGTGGCTTCAAGTCTAAGTTATTTGTCATGACATTAAATCATGTAGTATCACAATTGTGATGGAGGGGGTGAAATGACTTTGTATAATCTGCGGTTGCAGTTTGTCTGAGTAGGACTGGGAGAGAATTAATAGAACAGAAAAGAAAATGTAAGAAAGTATGACAATCTTAGTTTGTAATTTGAAGATACTTCCACTTGATGTGTGTTAGGTTGGTTGTTACATATGCGTATACATTTCCATTGATTTTTGATAATGGGCCAGATCTCGTTATAACTAACGGGAAAGTATTTTGCTTATTTGAAATGAAAAGTAAGAAAATGGTTGCTGCAAAAACTGTACCTATATTTACCTTCTCTTTATGAAGATAACTTGCAACAGTGACAAATACGTAAATTGAATTTTACCAGTGATATTTTATAAACATGTCTAGAAATTTTGTGTGGATCATCTGAAATGATGTTGGCATTAAACACAAAAATCATCCTCCACATCAGTGGTTCCCAAATTTTTTTTAGCAAGTGCCCCCCTTGTTCTATAAACTTATCCCTTGTTCTCCCTGCCCTGCCATATGAAAAGCATTCTTCAGGATAGCGGTTTGCGCATCTCACTAAGGAAGATAATAACAATAAAATAAGGCACCACATATGGTAACTACTTCACTGCTAGTAAATTCTCAATGCGATGATTGAGTTAGATGAAGTGATACCAGTTTCCCAATGTCCGGTTTAAGCCACTTCCATCGTAAATAAGCGAACGTGCTCGGAGGGGGCTTTCCTCGTGGGCCCGTACCGCCGCCCTCTTAACTCTTAGCACCTCACCCTATGTAATTCCACCGCCCCACAGCATGCGTACAATCCGCTTTGGAAGGACTGCTCTACGTGGTTGCATCCCAACCAGTGCATTCAATCTGACGTTTGAAATTGGAAGAAAACCAGTGGGGGAGCTTTATGTTAACCCCTGGCTAACACTTAAAAAAAAATTCATACATCACAAACTGACAGAAAAAGCAATAAAATCTGATAATGCATCTTCTGCCACTTCCAGTTAGCGAGCCTATCATGGTCTTGTCAGCCAGTTCATCGCGGCTTACGCTAACCGACAATGAGAGCACGCGCTATTAGGAGAGACACGATACAGTGTTCGCTTGAGGATAAGAAGTAATGCATGGCATTTCAAGCCACGGATCACTGTTTCAGGCCTCATGTTAGCCGGATGAGACATGTTGGCACATTACTTTACTCAGTGCTTGCAGAGCGCGCAAGTAACTGATAGACAAACGGCAATGGAACGGCCATGTTACGACATTCTTCAAGATTGTGACATCACTTTTTATTTTAAATTATTTTCAGGAGTACGACGGAAAGCAAGAAAGAAAGGAAGAAAAACTCCCCCAGATTATTCAAATTGGAAATAACAACAAAAACTACTCCAAAATACTGGAAGAATTTTAGAATAGTTTAGAAGAGAATCACAGTGGTCTTGAAAATATTTGGTATGAAAGTGTAAACTGCTCATAGGGAGATAAAAGAACACTCAGAATTTCCAGTGAAGAGGACGAGAATTTCTTTGATTAATAATGACCGATAACTTTCTTGTCACCGGCTTTGCTGCGAAGTAATCGGCACTATGAAAGCACAGTTGAAAAATCGATGATCCAAAATACTGAAAGTAAAGTTTAATTCACTTCTAAACTTTAGAAATATTAAACATACCCTGAAATATTCCCAGTTACTGGATATGAGTCGTGATTGAAATCATACGGACGGTATTTTGGTTCTTCTCCCGTAAACTGAACTTCCCTTTATTTTTTCGCTGTGATAGATTTTAAAAAGTAAAACCTAAAAGAGTAAGTAAACTGAGAATTTATGCCTTTAAATAAAAAGTACACCTTTTTTAATCTTGTGATATAGTTTCGAAGAAGTGCGTTAAATGTATAAGAAGAGAAGAAGGAAGTATGTGTCAGTTATGCTATACTATTCATTTTCCTTTTCCTCCAGTGAAATGCAGAAACTGGATCAGGACCACAAACGGCTCGAGAGAACATGTGAAGTGGCCGAGAAGATGGGCGTCAGTTTGCAGGAGGCTCATGATCACTTCCTCAGTAAGCTGAAAAGGACTGCAGAACAAGAGAAGAAACACGAATCTGAGGCTGTTACACTCAGAGGTTTGTTTCTAGAATATGCATGAGAATTAAAACAAAAATAATTTAAATCCGAACTTAGTCGGAGAAGTTTTCAGTAGATATATGATATGAAGGATCCAGAAATGTTTGCGGGCCACGGCAGTGGACTGCAATTTTTTCATTAATGCTGGCGCCAGTGTTCTGAGTCAGAATATTAGGAAAGACATTTGAATAGAATGTTTTGTCACGTGATCCAGTGACTGTGGACGGGTTTTGGATTAATAGCCAGATTTATTGGACACTTACGGCTCTTGGCTACACTTTACATATTACTGTCACACACAGACTACTGTCCTTAGTCATGTTGCCTGGTAACGGCTTCCAATGACGGACGTTCCTCTGCTTCCAGGCCCTCGTCCTTTCAACTAACATCATACTCTGTCATCCATCTGTCCGAACATCCGATATTCTCCTTCCCACTACAGTTACTTTGGAGCACCGAGAGAAAAGCATGTGTTATATTTTATTTATTTGTGTGATATTAAATAGAAAACAATTGTCCATTTCGAGGACACACCTGTAATATGAATATGAAAGAATTCTTTCAGAAACCCTGTGTGAATTTAGCAATAATTTAAGGGGCGTTATTACATAAGCAAGAAATAATGTAATTCAGTGCTGGTACTAACCAACTACTGTACACGAAAGGAAGTCGATAGGGCAGCGTTGTTCCGAATTTAAAGACAACTTCAAAGCGGTTCACTCTCACATGAATTCCTGTTGCCATGATTTTCAAACCTGGTAAGTGATTGGAGCAGCACTACTATGTTCGTGGGAACCCATGCTGAAGCATCTGCAGAAGAGGAGCGTCGGTCTATACGTCTGTTTGTGCGGTCGGCGCGTGGGCGTTAGAAGGCACTCATAATGCAAGTCGGGTCCGAATCCATCCCAGACCCAAGTGGTTATTGTGTTTCTGTCAAGAGGAGTAAGGTATGGAGCAAAGCGGCCTCTGTAGTCTGGGGGTAATGTTCCCACCTCATGACTCAAGGTACGCGGGTTCAAACCCGGCGGAGGTCGTGGAATTTTTAAGGGCGGAAAAATTCAGGGAACAAGTCCTCCGGGAGGGACTTTAAGCCGTGGGTCCCGTGTCGTAGATTTACGGCACGTAAAAGACCCTCATGTCTCTAGGAGACCTGTGAGCAAAATTAGGCAAGTTTCCCGCCCAAGTAGTTTCCAATGTCTCTGGTAGATTGGGGAAGTATCGAGGTACCGAGGGCCGACCTCGTTGGCTTAACGGGGCTGATAGCACGCACCAGTACCAGGAGGGTATGGCGACTGGTAGAATATCAAAGGGAGACGTACAATAGACTATTAGTCGCGGTGCATGGGGAACCCCCCCAATAATAATAATAATAATAATAATAATAATAATAATAATAATAAAGGTATGGAGCAGCAGGTGACAGTGGAGCTCANCCTATGTATCGCAGTCCGTCAATAATGCAACAATTGTTTATTCACCAATTAACACTTAATACAACATGTTCCGGCCATAGATGATCATCTTCAAGTGTCTTAATGCATCCAAACTGTTACACTGCTCTGATGTGCGCTAAAACCGCGCTTTGCAGTCCACTTAAAATAACATAAATAACTGAACTCCGTGGTTTGAGTCCGCAAGCGAATTACACCAACTGAGCAACCGCCGCTTGACGGCGAAGTTGATGTCAATTTTAGCGNTAAACAATTAATTAAAAATCCATTAAAATTTCCTATTAAAATTTTTTTCATAAAATCATAATCCACCTCTCCAGGGGCGTCGTCCACTTGTTTGGAGCTATGTGATTATTCCAGAAAGTTTGTTTCTGCGGCTTATTTTCCTGTTCATTAGTCCGTTCACGTCTGCAATCTGCAATATGCCCCTTGCTTGTGTATACCCTCTAGCAGCGTGTGGTGTTGTCTTCACTTAATTAAGTAGATATCAACTAAGCTGTTATTATTTGTTCTAATACATTTCCATTTCTAATAGCTGAAGTAGAGAGACTGAAAATGGAAAAGAGCGCTGCACCAGTGAACGTCTGCAAGGACAGGGATAATTATTCAGAGGTAAGAGAGTTCTCTGGTCTGTCACTATAAGTGAGAACGCAGATTAAGGCTGTCTGAGAGACAAGTACCGAGAAGAATATTTCGGCATAAGAAGGAAGAAATAACAGGAGACCGGAAAAAGCTCATAATGAGAAGCTTTTTAATTTGTACACTTTACCAGATATTGTCAGGATAATGTATTCGGTGGGACATACAGTGCACACACAGGAAATGAGAGAGACATAAATACTATTTGGACAGGAAAATTTAAGATACCTAGATGTAGATAGGAAAATAACACGAAGCTTTTATGAACAGGGTAATGAACATTCATATTCTGGCCAGTTGGTCAACTTTCATTTTCTCAAGGAGGATCCAGCGCTATGGAGTTAGCTAATTAGATATCTAGTAGTAGCGGAACTTCCATGTTATCCGCGTTAGACTGGCTAACACGTTGAAAAATGGAATAAAAGTATCAGTTTCGTGGTTCAGTGGTACTGCAGATACTGGGAGAAGAGGTGGTCAGATAATACATCGTCTTCAATAGCCGTTTTCTTACGGCTTACTTTGGCCGTTTCTGGGCACAGGCAGAGACACGATGTAGTTTGGGTCTGAGGGGCAGACAGTCCAACCTACCGCAAGCTCACTATGTTAACATGTTGTGCTCACAGAGTACAAGCAAACGGAAGAAAGCAGGGAAGAACGGGAAGGCGGAACACACATTTCTGCTCTAGAATATTATTACATCATGATATGATGAGGTCCATCAGTACTCACACTAAGTTATCATTAATAACAACTATGAATCAAATTCTTAAATATTTAGAAAACGGTTCGAATTTCTGTGATTCTGATAGATTTTTTAGTGGGGGGTGGAGTCCACTTGGGTCCACTCGCCACGGCGGCCACTGATTGGCCTATTGTATCCTGCCCCGGGTGATTATGATGATGGAGAATTTGGTGGAATGAAGATTGGCAAAGGAAACCGAAGTACTCGGAGAAAACCCACCCTAACGCCACTTTGTCCACCTCAAATCCCACTTGACCCGACCCGGGATCGAACCCGGGCCGCCGCAGTGGGAAGCCAGTGACTAACCAGTTGAGCTATGGCGCGGCCGCCTCTTGATAGATACTTTCACCACAAAAATCTCTTATGGAGAACAAGAACAAGGTGAAAAAAAGTAAGGTCAGTAGTTGCTGACCATTTTTTCTAATTTATATTGCCTTCCTAATTTATGTTTACTCTCTCTTTCTTCCCTAACTTAACGAAATTTTTAGCGTAAACTTACGTAGTTGTCTTGTATGTAGTTTACACTGAACTGCCAGAATTTTCACGACCTCCTCCTGCCTTTGAATTTGGCTACAACTTGAAAATTTCACGCTACACCACTGATAGCTGTCAGAGCTCAGGCGGTTAGTCGCTGGATTCTCATCATTGCAACTCACAATCCATCCTTAGACATTTCACGTGGAATTCATAATGAACAAAGTGGCATTTTGGTAGACGTTTCCCAGGTACTTGATTTTTCCCTGTCAATTCTCGTTCCACCAAAAACTCATTACTTTCTTCTGTAATTCGGGGCTTGTACGGTAGATAACTTAGGTCCTAAGTACCAACAAACTCAGTCTCATAACACGCTGAGAATATTAAAAACAAGAAAATGAAAACATAGTCATTCACCAAGTCCGTCATTTAGTAAATCTTTGCCTCTGTAAGTCTACTGGAAGAAATATTTGGATACATGAACAGTAGCTTGGAGAAAGTATTCATTATGGATCAGAGACTTTGCATTTGGCTGGCCTCAGAATACAAATTAGGTTAGCACTGGACAGAGTTGAATGTAATTGTAGTGTATAGAATCAACCACTGTCACAAAACGTTAGAGAATATTTACACAGTGAAACTCACAACAGAATCCAATTTAACTAAGACTTTTTCCATTACAGACAGTTTTCCACCTAATAGAATTCTTGCTTCTAGATAAAGAATGTTGCCCTGTGCATACAATGTCTGTTTATGATCCATACAGCAAGCCAGAAATTTTTGTAACATAATACACAACACTCTCGGCGAGCAGTATTCATCTTGTATTTTCTTTTCCTTTCTTTTTCTAGCAGTCTACTGTCATATTCCATATACGTATATTTAGTTGGCATATGTAATTATTTACCGTTTTTGGTGGGATTGGTCCTTCTGAAATATGTTCCAGGAACGAAGTTAAATTAACAGTAATCAAATATTTTTCATGCTCTTAACTTTATGAACCTCGTATTTGATTTTCTTTCTGTACATGATAATATTCAGATTTGGCTCTGTATACTTGGAACCAAAGAAATTTCCTGATAAAGGCAGGGCTCATGCTTTACCAGATAGCTTTTTATAAAAAATTTAACATTCTACCTTAAAATGGCTTTATCATTTCAGACCTCCCGTTACCTTCAGGAGATCAAAGAATTTGTTGTTGCTGAATCCAAGGGCAGCAGCCAACTTCATGAAGCTTTGCAGAAAGGTATTCAAGCACAAGCTGCCTTCCATAAACTGGAGCAGAACCTAAGAGAGAAGCTGCAAAAGGAAATGGAACAGGTTTCTGAGCTTCAGTCATCAAACAGCGCTCTAAATAACAGCCTTTCTGAAGCTTGTGCAACTGTCAGGTGTGCTGAAAGTCTGAATCTTCTGAAATCATTGACTGATGTGTTCAAAGTCAGGTTAAATGTTCTTCTCATTCTGAAAAATAACTAACTAACTAACTAATTAACTGGCCAGTCACTGTAGCTGAGCGGTCTAAGGCATGTACTGTCTTCGCTCGCATGGAAACTGGGATCGTGGGTTCGAATCACACTCAGGGCATGGATGTTTAGTTTGTGTGTGTGCGTTTTTCTGTGTTAGTGTACAGGTAGAGGCCTCGCGACGAACTCATCACCCGCCCAAGGAGTCCTACCGAATGTGTAAGATCAAGAAAAACCGAAGTGAACGGAGAAGTTCATGGAGGTAGGCCTAGGCCCACTGGGGCTG